GCGTTTGGACTGGAAGGCTCAGTGTTGTTACGGTGTCCGTGTTTCCCAGCTGGTGCCATAGATTCGATGCGTCCCAGTCAAACTCCCAGCAAACCGGTGGGACACGCCTGGCTTCCGCCCCCATCGGTGCCTGCGCCGCACGCTCTTCCTGAGAGGTCGGCAGGAACCAGCCCTTTCGAAACACTCGCCAGACCCCTCATCCCTTCTTCTGGTTTCAGTCCCAAAACCCACTAGCCGCTCTTCCCAGGAAGAGACCGTGAACCACAGACCGGTTTTGGCCGTGCGTCCTCCATGTCACCTTTTGACACATAGGGCCTACTTGGGTTTTTTTGAGATGGAGTTTTACTCGTTGCCCAGGCTGGAGTGCAGTGGTGCGATCTCAGCTCACCACAACCTCTGCCTCCCGGGTTCAAGTGATGCTCCTGCCTCAGCCTCCCGAGTAGCTGGGATTACAGGCACCTTCCAACATCCCCTCCCAGCCCGGTTGTTTCTTGTGTTTTTAGTAGAGATGGCGTTTCACTGTTAGCCAGGCTGGTCTTGCACTCCTGACCTCAGGTGACCCGCCGGCCTCAGCCTCCCACGGTGCTGGGACACAGGCGGGGGCCTGCTGTGGATGCACGGAAATGGAAGCCTCCGCCCCAAAGGCCTCCTGGGCTGCACGCAGCAGGCACGTGTCTGCGCGAATACTCACAGCTCCGCCGAAGGTCCGGCCCACCCGCCGACGCCGGCAGCCCGCTCAGCTCCTCCCGCTTCCCGCTCGGAAGTACCTGCTTCCAGGTCCTGCCGGAGGCGACGCTTCCCTGCCTGCGCCCGCCGGGCTGCAGGCTGGACCCCGTGTGAGGAATGCCCTCCTCTCAAAGGTAGGAAGGCCGCGATCCTTCGGCTGGCACGCAGTCTGGAGGATCGGGGTCGGAGGACTCACAGGGCCGTCAGCCCGGGACGATAAGGCCCGCGGAGCCATCTCAAGGCGCGTGTCTCCCAGGCACGGCACCCAGGCCCCTGGCCCCACAGGCCTCTGGTCCAGGTGACACCAAGTGGCTCCCTCTTTGCCAGAACATCCCCTCGCCCCGAGGTGAGGGCCTCCTTTCCAGGCTGAGGGCACAGGGTGGCACTGGAGGGGCCCATAGCCCCCTCCCCGTCTGGCTGCCTCTGGGAGGGCAGGTGGACCCTTATCCCACCCCGAGGTGCGGGAGCAGAGTGGCCGAGTGGTGGACACTCAGCCAGTCCCGGATCAGGTTGGGCCCTGGCCCAAAGCTCTGAGCTGGGGCAAGGCTGACCAAGAGGGGTCCCCGGGCCTTCCAAGGGCACTTTCCTCCACCCCCAGTGACTGGGGAGGACACGGAAGGCCATGAGGTGGCCCCAGGGGACCTTCATGTGGGAGGGATGGGCCCCCCTGACTGCCAGCACCACGGAGGTGGCCAGGGCCGAGGCCCCAGGGAGCTTTTGCGCCGATTCTGGGGAGAGGAGGTGCAGCTTGGACCCGTCCCAATTCCACTGCTCCTCCACAAGCGGTCCGCCCGCCGTGGCTCGCTCTGTGCCCTGCCACGGAAAGAAGATAAGGGTCGGCTTCCTTCCCAGGGCTTCCCACGTCCCACCCCAAAGCGTGGCTGTGGCTCTGGTTTCATTGCTCCAGCGCCGCGGTTTCCAGGAACACCTCTTCTGCCCTGCCCACGCGGAGAGGCTGGGCCCTGACCCAGGACCACCCAGCGCCCTGTCTGATGGTAACTGGCCTCAGGCCGGCCAGCACTGGGCTCTGCCGCCCTTCAGGACCTGGGCGCTGGCCTCCTACTCAGGCAGACACCAGGGGCTCAGGAAGCTCAGTCCTTCCCTAGAGCCCGTGGGAGGGGCTGTGGGGCTCCATGCAGGGCTCTGGGCAGGGCTTCTGCGGTCTGAGGGTGGCCGTGGCTGCTCACTCCCAGAGCTGTGGGATGGGGCTTTGGGCTGGGTGGCTCTGTGTGGGGCCTCCAGAGTGTGGTATGGGCCAGGCTGGCTCTTGGCCCGGGGTGAGGGGTTCTGGGCAGGCAGTGATGGCAGAGAGTGGCTTGCACCTCCCCACACAGAGCCCACCCCTGGCTTTCTGCCTCCAGTCCCGGCCCCATGCCCAGGGCCAGCAGAGCAGCTCAGGGAGGGGGCAGCGTCCCAGGGGCTGGGAACCAGGCCATAGTCCAAAAGCATGATCTGTGCACCACACACCCCTGTCTTTTGCCCTCCAGGTGCTGAGATGGGCACAGCCCCAGATGGAGGGGCTCTGCCAGAGGCTGAGGTGCCCAGTGAGTCAGGGCAGCCACCCTGAAGGGCCTACCCCTTCACCGGAAATAGCCTTCCTTCCAAATTTGTAGAAGTGTGATTTATTTAGTGGACATAGCTGACCCGGGGCATTTTAGGTATTTACCAAAAGCCATATAAGTTTGTGTCTGTAAAAACAATAGACCAAAATGCTAAGAGCAGCTTTATTCACAGCAGTCAAGAACGGAAATCCGCCCAAATTGTTCATCATCAGAAAAGTGGCCAGACCGTGGCTCTTCAAGACACGGGTTCAAGTCAGCAATGAAAAGGAACAAAACTCTGACACGTTCGAGGGACACGAACCCTCAGGGACAGAAGCCTCCCTGAAAACAGGCAGATCCAGCCCGCACAGAGGTCACGACTCCATCATCTGCCGGCTCCAGAGAGAAAGCAGGAAGCTGGGATCACAGAACCCAGAGGAGTGGACGCTCCTGCTGAGGGATGGCGGGGAGGGACTGGGGACACTCCCGCTGCTGACACCCACACAGCACATGCGCGCCCACACTTCAGACGTGCGCGTTTCACGCTGTGCGCGTCTCCTGGTTACAAGTGTGTTTTACTTCTCCAGAATAAAGAAGTAAGAGCTGGGAATGACGTTAAACGTTCCTTTCTCAGGTTTCCTGTGTGTGGGGTAGGTGGGCCACACGGACCCTCCCTGTGGGGAGCTCCGTGGGGGAGACACCGTGGGCCTGGTGTCCATGACACTGGGAGGAAGATTTCAGATCTCCGGTGGTGTTGGGTCAGAATCTGACGAATCCATCTGAGCTCCAGAGGAACAGCCTGGCTTTTCCCCATGCAGCTTCTAGGAGGTTCCTCAGCTTCTCTGAGAAGGCAGGGCACTGGCACAGGAACCTGGGGTTCTCAGCCCCCCGAGGAGTGGCCAGTGGGAGGGGAGGGGCAGGCGGGAGCCTTCCTGTGGGACTCGCAGACCTGGGGCCTCCCCTCCTCCTTGGAGGGGACCAGACGCCTTCCCCACCTGGAGGAAGCTCTGGACCCCAGAACTGGAAAGGACAAAGCTGGAGCAGAGTCGTCCGTGTTCTGCAAGCTGCTGTGCCCTTGGGCAGGTCCCTCGCCTTCTGGTCTCAGTCTCCCCAGCTGTGCAAGGAGGACACCAGGTGGGGCCCCCTGGGTTTGCAGAAATCAAAGGAAATCTGAGTCTCAGAGAAAAGGGAGCTGTGGGCCGGGCTGCAGGAAGGCGTCAGGGGCTGGAGTGGGTGCCGGGGGAGAAGGAGAGGGCTGCTGGGGGACACCCCGCAGGTCCCACGTGCTGTACCCCGTTTGGCCATGGCTGGTGTCCCAGCGCTTGGGTGCAGACCCCAGTGGACGAGAGACATGCTGCCGGGTGATAGGCTGCCCGTCTCGGGACCCCAGGGCTCATGCCCCTTCCCCTCGGGATCTAGAGCTCTGGAAGTTCCCAGCCCCGCTCTCTCCTCCTGTGGACCCCTACGCGGCTGTGGGCAGCTGGCCCGCTGCGGGAAGTTCTGGAGAACAGTGATGGCACTGCCAGTTTTCATCTCTGGGAAGCACTTGCTTTGTTTTTTGTTTGTTTGTTTGTTTTTGTTTTTGAGATGAAATATCACTCTGCTGCCCAGGCTGGAGTGCAGTAGCTCGATCTTGGCTCACTGCAGCCTCCACCTCCCGGGTTCAAGCAATTCTCCTGCCTCAGCCTCCCAAGTAGCTGGGACTACAGGCATGCACCACCAATTTTTGCATTTTTCGTAGAGATGGGGTTTCACTATGTTGGCCAGGCTCGTCTTGAACTCCCAACCTCTTCATCCACCTGCCTTGGCCTCCCAAAGTGCTGAGATTACAGGTGTGGGAAGGACTTTCAGGGCAGGGAGGTATGTGAGGGGTGGCCCTGAGTTCCCTGAGGGCCAGTGGAGGGCAGCACAGGGCAGGGGCTGCGGCCGGCTCTGACCAGACGGGGACACAGAGCAGGTGCAGGAGGGTCTCATGCAGACGCGACCCCAGGCCAAGTCAAGAAACTTGGGGGTCCTTGCTGAGGTGGGCACAGCGGAAGTGCAGGGAGCCAGGAATGGGGGGACCTTCCCATAGGCAGGGGACACAGCCCAGGTGCAGGGAGCCAGGGGTTCTCACTCAAGGGAAGACAGCAGCAGGTGCAGACAGGAGGGAGTTTCCCCGAGGCAGGTCAAGGAACGGGTGCAGGGGCAGGAGGGCCCCTCCCAGGCGGAGGCACGGGGCAGGTTCAGTGGGGGCCTCACCCCAGTGAGCGCAATGCCGGGGCAAGTAGAGGGGCCTTAGCTGAGCTGGGAACGCGGCATCCATGCAGGAGGCAGAAGTGGGGGCCTTGTCCAGGCAGGGACCTGGAGAGGGGACCCTGGCGCAGAGGGGCTGCAGCCCAGGTGCAGGGAGCAGGTATTGGGGTCCTGGAGCCAGGAGCCCAGGCGGGAGTTGGGGAGCTGAGCTCGAGGCTCTGCAGAGCTCGGGCTGTCTCCAGGGTGCGGGGCTGGCCCAGCGTGGCCAGTGGGGCCAGGTGTGTCACATGCCAGGGGGATGCCAGCCTGTGGGGCGGGGCCCCTGTGGCCATCGTGGCTGTGCACCTGGGTGGCAGCCAGTGGGACGGGAGCGGGGGCTGCAGGTGTGGTGTTCCCAGAGGCACAGGTGCCCTTTCCCACACTCCTCGGTCCCAGTCGTGGGAACCAGCCAGTCCCTGCCCGGTCCCGCAGGCACAGTTCCTCTCGGGGCCTGGGCCGATGGCAGGTCTTAACGTGTCCCTCTCCTTCTTCTTTGCCACCTTCGCCCTCTGCGAGGCGGCCAGGCGGGCCTCCAAGGCCCTGCTCCCCATGGGCGCCTATGAAGGCTTCGCCCGGGAGGCAGTGGGCGCGGCCCAGCTCGGGGCCTGCTGCCTGGAGATGAGGGCGCTGCTGGTGCTTGGGCCCTGGGCTGGGGGCTTCGGGCCTGACCTGCTGCTCACCCTGCTCTTCCTGCTCTTCCTGGCGCACGGGGCCACCCTGGACGGGGCCTCAGCCAACCCCACGGTGTCCCTGCAGGAGTTCCTCATGGCCGAGGCCTCTCTGCCTGGGCACGCTGCTGAAGCTGGCGGCCCAGGGGCTGGGCGTGCAGGCTGCCTGCACCCTGACGCGCCTCTGCTGGGCCTGGGAGCTCAGCGACCTGCACCTGCTGCAGAGCCTCATGGCCCAGAGCTGCAGCTCGACGCTGCGCACGTCCGTGCCCCACGGGGCGCTCGTGGAGGCCGCCTGCGCCTTCTGCTTCCATCTGACACTCCTGCGCCTGCAGCACGGTCCTCCTGCCCACAGGGTGCCCGCCGTGGCTCTGCTGGTCACTGTCACGGCCTATGCAGGTGAGCAGTGCTTTCCCTTCCCCGGGCCCTCAGGACTCCTCCACCTGTGTGGCCTCCATGCACACCCAGGAGCAGGGGCTGCTGGCCCAGGTGGCCCACAAGCCCACAAGAAGGGGTGGCGATTTCCTGCGACCTGGCGGGCGGACGAGGGCCTGTGCTGGCCACGGGGTGCTGTGGAGGAGCCTGTCCCCTGCCAGGGCCACCCTGCCTGCGGTGCCTCCCCCACTCCCAGCTGTTCCTGGACCTCTCAGAAGTTCCGCCCCTGGGGTCGTCGGGACAGCCGAGGCAGAGGCTTCCGGGCCCAGCCGTGGTCTGGCGTGGGGGTCCCTGCTCCCTCTCTCACCTCTTCAGAGTGACAGGTCCTATCCCACTTGCCCCACTCGGCCTCTGTGGCCCCTCCTGACGCCGAATCCTGAGAGCCTGCTGCATCTGGGCTCCCAGTGGGACCAGGCTCTCGGGGTCCTCTCAGCACCCGTGTGAGCTCCTCCTCTCAGACCCTCCGTCTCATCAGCCCCATGCCTGCCTTGCCCTCCCTCCACTCCCAGGAAAGCCTTTGCTTGGGAAGCTCCCAGGACAGGTGTCCACAGGGCTGGGGCTGCAGGGACAGCAGGGGTGGCTGGCTCATGCTCCCGGCACTTCGGACAGCACAGGGAGGGCCGCAGGGAGAATCCGCCAGGTCCTTCCGGGGTCCTCATCAGGACGGGCCCAGTGCTTGTGACCATGGCACTGCCCACGACCCAGCCCTGGGCAGACCCATGGAACCTGGACCACAAACGCCACAGAGAGGTGCCACCAGAGCCCGTACAGACGGGGAAACCGAGCAGGGAGCTCCGCAGGGCCACAGCTCTGTGGCAGGTTGCCCGGGCCTCTGTCCTGGGTGGCGCTGGAGAGCTGCTGCCAAGGCTCCTGCCTCCTCGAGGCCTCAGGGACGGAGCTGCCCGGGTCCTGGTGTGCGCCTGGCCGCAGGCTCTATGCCTCTGGTCCCTGAGGCCCCTGCCCTCCCCGGGTCTGCTCCCTGCTCTTCCCTGCCCAGAGGCAGGTCCCTGGCATTGGTGGGTCCTGTGATTTGCGGTGGCCACTCCAGCCTGGGGCTACAAGACAGTGCCCGACTGCATCTCACAGCACACAGCCCAGTCCTCCCCCCTCCCCGCCGCTGCCCTCTGGGAGATCTCTCTCCATCTCCCGGTCTCTGTCTCTCCTCTCTCTGTCTATCTCCCAGTCTCTGTCTCTCCTCTCTCTCTGTCTCCTGGTCTCTGTCTCTCCTCTCTCTCTCTCTCCCTGTCTCTGTTTCTTTGTTTCTCTCTCACACTATCGTCTCTCTCTTAGTCTCTGTGTCTGTCTCTCTCAGTCCCCTGCCTCTCTTGAAGGCCACATCCCACAAGGTGGGGTGCTGGATTCTAGCATGGTTGGGTGGGACGGGAGTTCATGCCAGGATGAGACGTGTGGAGGGTCTTCCATGGCCCTGCAGGGCCCCAAGCTGCTGCCCCTGACCCAGACCTTGGCTGAACCAGCCTCACTGCCTCATGTGACCATCAGTGCAGGGACCAGGTGGAGCCAGGTGCAGGCATGGGCTCTCGGTGTGGACTCTGGCGGGGTTGGGGCAGCAGGCAGGCCTGGGGACCAGGGCTGTCTGTTCTCTGCCCACAGCTGGGCCCCTCACATCCGCCTTCTTCAACCCTGCCCTGGCTGCCTCCGTGACCTTCGGCTGCTCGGGCCACACATTACTGGAGTACACGCAGGTGTACTGGCTGGGCCCTCTGGCAGGTAAGGGCAGGGGCGGAGTGGCATCCTTCGGGCTGCTGGGGCGCAGAGCGTGTCCTGGTACGTAGGGTCCTCCCACAGCTCGTCCCGGTACGTAGGGTCCTCCAGGGTGCGGGGAGGGTGCCGGGTCAGTGCTCCTGGGGACAGCTCTGCCTCGGGCATGGGGTGTGGGGTCGGGCCTGTGATGGCAGATCTCGCCTTGGACACCTTCCTAGCGCAGAGCGGGCTGGAGCCAAGAGGCAGGCTGGGGACAGACCAATCTTGCAAGGGACGTGGGCACACAGGGCAAGGCATCTGCAGGGGGCTCCACACACTGGGGACTCTCCGCACGCCTGAGCTCGGCTCCCAGAGAGGGACTCGATCATGTGACCCTCGGGTGACAGGGAGCCCCACTTAGACGATACGGGGTGCCCTGATGCACTTCGGGGCTGTAAGTGTGGGGGTGGGGGGCCCCTTTGTCTCCTAGGGTGGCCCGGGGGGAGCCTCCGTTCCTGCACGGGCCTGGCTTCCTGCGGGGGACGAGGCCCCGGACTCTCTCCTGCCAGGCTTCTGGGTGCTCTGCGTTGGCAGTGTCTCCCGGCGGCTCTGCAGCCCGAGTTTCCCCGGGCATCCACCTCCCGTCCAGGGCTGCCCCTCCCCGCCCGTCCAGCCGCGTTTCTGCTTCCCGCTCTCCTCAGCGTCTCCTGTTTTGGTTTATTCCTTCTTTTTGGTGGTTCCGGCCTCACAGTAGCTTCCTGGGAAATGGGAGCTGGCGGGTACAGCTCAGACCCGCTGCGTCCGAAGCACCATATCCTGGTTCTGACCCGCGCTTGAGCGTCGCTGAGGCCTGGGGTCCGAGTCCCGGGTGGGAGATCAGTTTCCCCGAGTTTCTCAGGTCCCACGCCGTGGCCCGGGGTGGCTCAATGGGCTACAAGGCAAAGGACCGCCACCAAAGAGGCTTCACGTGACAAACGCGGCTCAGCCAGCTCCGGAGGCTGCAGGTGCAGACGGGCACTGACGGGGTCAGCTCTTCTCGGAGGCTGCTGCGGAGGGGCTCCTGCCTCTTCCGGGCTCTGGGGTCTCTGGTACCTGCGTGCCCCTGGGCTGGGCGACACACCACTGCCGCGCCTGCCAGGCCGTCCCCTGGCCGCCTCCTCTGGGTCATTGTCCCTTCTTTCCATAGAGGGACACCAGTCATTGGATTTGGGGTTCCCTCCACTCCAGTATGACATCACCTGAATTCAGCTAATTTTATGGACCAGGCCCTATTTCTGACGAGGGCGCACCCTGGCTTCTGTGAAGGGCAGGACTCTGGCGAAATACTCTGCCCTCTGCTGCGACCTCTCGCTCTGGAACTGCTCCAGGGAGAAGCCCAAAGGGCAGCTGGCACTTCTAGGAGCCAAGTAGGAAGAGGCTGGGGTCCCCGTTTCAGAGCCGTCCAGGCTTGGGCAGCCTGATGCTGGGGTCCAGAAGTCCCCTCTAGAGAGGAACTGCCTCCTGCCAGGGCCAGGGAGGGAGGCGCGGGCTGTTTCTGTATCTTGGGGCTTTGGGGCTCCGGAGCTTCCCATGTGGAACTGCCGGCCCTCCTCCCAGGTGAGTCCGGGCTACCCATCCCAAGGGACCTGGGCCAGCTTCTGAAAGCACAGGGCATCTCCGGAACAAGTGGGTTGTTTCCCAGCTTTTGGCTCTGCAGAGTGGGGACCCGGCCCCAACGTCCGTCCACACGCGTGTCAGCCCCGCGCTGCGCTCCTGCGTCTCCTCCCGTCTGTCCTGGGTGCTTGACACCTCTGAGAGCGTCCCTTTCCTGTGATCTTACAGCAGCTTCAGGAGGCTGAAAAACAGGCTGGTGTCCCTCCATCGACCTCCTCCACCCGCAAATTCAAAGTCGGCCTGAGCCCTGGGGAGCTCCGAGGTTGCAGGCAGGAGCCTTGTAGCCAGGCATGGGCATGGGGCTCGCTCCCGGGGCGTGAGCGGCCACCGGCACCTACTGGCTGCACCCCTGAGCAGGTCACCCCGCCTCCCTGGACCTGCCCTCCTGGGAGCAGAGATAGGACCAGCCTGGGCCTTGGAGGGCTGAGTGAGGGGCAGTGGCCCGTGTCAGCAGGCTGTGGGCACAGAGGCCACCGTCAGAAGCTGCAGCAGCTGCAGGTGGTGACAGGCAGGTCTGCTTAGGCTAGTCCTAGTGGAGTCCACACACCGTGGGTTAAATCCTTAGCGGACTGAGGTCAAACTCAGAGACGATCCACTCCCGACTTCCCAGTGACCCAGGCAGGCGGGGACGGAGGGGTCTCTGCTGGGGTTCTGGAAGGACGTGGACATGAGGGCTCAGCAGGCCCTGCCTCCCACCCAGGGCACCCACATCTTTCCTGTCCACTCCCATCCCCCACCTCCATGCCAGGCCACGACCCTGCAAACAGCCACATCCGGTCCCGGAGGAAAATGGCCACAGAGGCTCTGGGGGTGGCTCAGGACAATCGGGGGGTGGGAACCCCAGTCACCTGTCCCAGAGCATGATCCAGAAGTGCAAGGAACCCCAGAGGCTTGCCCCAGTCCCCACGGCTGGCACACCCAGAGGGAGGGGCATGACCAGGGAGGGAAGACCAGGGCCAGGCAGGGGCCAGCCTTCGTGGGTCTCAGGGCCCTTGCCAGGCTGCCTGGCTCCCGTCCTGGCACAGGCCTGGTAGGGGGTGTCCTGTCTGTCGCTGGGCCCAGGAGCCCGACGGCCTGCCTGGGACCTGCCTTCTCTTTCAGGGATGGTCCTGGCTGTGCTCCTGCACCAGGGCTGCCTTCCCCGCCTCTTCCAGAGGAATCTGCTCTACAGCCAGAAGAACAAGTACCGAGTGCCCCGAGTGAAGCCGGCCCCGGCCTCCGGGGACACGCAGACACCTGCAAAGGCGTGCAGTGGCCGGGAGCCTGGGTGCAGCGGGGTGCGGGGGCCGCACTCCAGCTGAGTGGCCTCGCTCTGTGTGAGCCCCGGGCCAGGGCCCTGCTTCCAGCTGGACCCTGGAGCCCCCTGGAGTTAAGAGGGAACCTGGCCTCCCCTCCCCGGAAGCCGTTTGTCAATAAAACATTCCTAATCCCTGTGTGTCCCCCGGGCTAAGAGGCTCCCAGACAGGCAGGCAGGGGTGTGCGGACACACGGAGAGGCTGGTCTGAGTCTCCCGCTCCTGTGGCTCCTTCCCGCCTCTTGTTAGAGAATAAGCAAGAGAGGAAAGGGCAGGATGACGGAAGAGCCGGGAAGTCCACCGGGCCGGGGTCTGCAGAGACCGTGCCGCAGCCCTGCACGTGCTCAGCAGGGAGCCCACAGCCCAGGAGGCTGAGACCCGCTGGGGCCTGAGGCGGCAGGCATGTGAACCGGGCCCAGGCCACCCAATCCCACGGCCCCTGAGTCCGTGACCCTCAGGACCACGGCCCCCGAGTCCGTGACCCTCAGGACCACGGCCCCCGAGTCTCCCAAAGTCAGGTTGATCACGGGGACTTTGGTGGAAGAACTAGGCGATCCAGCCACTTCCTCCCCGAAGAGCAGGGCCGGCCTGGAAACTTCCACCCCAAGGAGACAAAGGCCCCCTTGCTATGGGTTCTGCGGCCCCACCCAGAGGATAGTGAGTGAGGGTGATCCGGGCTCCTGCCCCAGGCTGTACCCCGTCCTCTGGTGGGCAGCAGCCCCTGGGCCCAGCTGCTCTGCTAAGGGGAAAGGACGAGAGGGCAAAGCAGGGAGGTGTCCTCGATGCCTGTCGGCTAGGGGACACTGCAACCCCCAGCGAGACCTCCTCCCTGACCCCCAGCGAGACCTCCTCCCTGTCCCCCAGCGAGACCTCCACCCTGTCCCCCAGCGAGACCTCCTCCCTGTCCCCCAGCGAGACCTCCACCCTGTCCCCCAGCGAGACCTCCTCCCTGTCCCTCAGCGAGACCTCCACCCTGAACCCCAGCGAGACCTCCACCCTGACCCCCAGCGAGACCTCCTCCCTGTCCCCCAGCGAGACCTCCACCCTGACGTGAGACCTCCACCCTGAACCCCAGCGAGACCTCCACCCCGGCCAGCGTCCGGGCACCATCGAGAGAAGGGATTCAAGGGCAACTGGAATAGTTAGAGCAGAGACTTCCTGCAAAGCCGAAAGCACCCACTGGGAGGGACGTGTGGTGCCTTCTAGAGTCCTGCTCAGAGGCCCTGGGCTGCAGGAACATTCACGGGCCTCCTGGAAAAGGTGGAGATGGCTCAGAACCGCGGCATCACCCACTTTTACACCAAATCTGGGTGTTCCGGAGCTGCCCAGCACATGTGGGGTGTGGTTAGTACGCTAATGAGTGCATCACGACATCACAGGAGACACCAGGGCACACCCAGAGCCCTGTGGGGCCCAGGTGGTCTCAGCCAGCTGCCACACCCGGGTGTTTCCAGCCGGTCAGCCCCTCACTTCTGCAGATGCTTCAAGGGTTTCCTTTTACTGGAGAGGAGAAGCGGCTGGAATTTCCCTTCCCCTGCGATCACCCTGCCTTATTCCCGTCTCATCCTGGGGATCCGGTGAGGCCAGTTTTCCTGGACAAGCATCTGGTGGAGGGAGAGAAAGAAGAATCCTCCCCACTCCCTGAGGCTGGCGATTCACACGCACCCCCTCCTCCCCACCATAAAGCCCCCCCGCCCTGAGGCGGGAAGCCAGCTCTGTCTAGAGCCCCAGGCTCCTCCTTCCCTGCCATGGAGTGGGGACTGGAACTCCATGGGACAGGCCTCAGAGTCAGTCCTATGTGGCATCCAGAGGTCCTGATGGGGCTGCCAGACGCTGCCAGGCAAAGTGCTGCTGAGCACACGGGGAGCAAACGGGGCTAAAACCGCCGCAGAAGTCTTCTGTCCGGAGCGCGAACGTTTCCGGGGGCAGCTCCTCGCCCGCTCTCCATGTGCGGAAACCTGAGACTCCAAGCGGCCCAGCGGAGCCGCTTCCCAGGTCGCCCCGGCCTGTGGGACATCCCTCAGCGGAAAGAGGCTTCTCCGCATCAGTGGCGGCCGACACGACTCGGAACCGCGCACCTGCCGCGGGCGGCCCGCGTGGCTTTCTAGCGGATGAAAAGAAAAGGAAGTTGCTAAGAACCGATTTCGCGGACCCGGGAGGGACGTGCAGAGACGGGAGGGGGACCGAGCGGTTTCCGCGGCGGCTGCTGGCCACTGTCACCCGCCCTGTGGAGTCCCCGCAACGGGGGCTGAGGGCACCCCTTGGGCTCCAGGCTCCGAGGGCCCCGCCCGCCTCTGAACACGGCTCCCCAGGGCGTCCCGGATCCCACACCCGCCCCGGGAGCTGGCGCAGGTGCAGGCGCCCGGAGAACTGCAGCTCGGGGGCGGCCAGGTCCCCGCGGGGGCGGCCGTGGCGGCTCCAGGTCTGGCCTCAGCTGGTAGCCCAGCATGGGCCCGGGGCCGTGCTGCAGGGACGCCAGCTGCAGGTCCAGCTCCGCGCCCCCCGCGCCCCCCGCGCCCCCCGCGCCCCCCGCGCCCATGGCGTGCGGTTGAAGTGCGCACAGAGCTCCACTTCCAGCGGGTTCCAGGCGCGCCCTGCGCTTCACACGCGGCTCCAGCGGCTCCGGGCGAAAGCCGCGCGTGGGTGGGGTGGGAAGGCCGCCAGGTGGTCCAGGCCCCGGGATCGCGCGGCACGGCAGCCCCAAGGACTGGTCCCGGCACTCGGTCGTCAGCACCAGGTCCAAGCGCGGCCGCGGCTTGCACCTCCCGGTTGCGGTCCAGCCCATGTCGGAGGCGGTGAGGCCGCCTGGTGCTGTAGAAGGCGCAGGTGTAGGAAGAGGCGCGGGCTCCAGGCTCGGGCGAAGGCCGTCTTGGAGCAGCAGAAGGCGGACCCCGGGGCGCCGGGCGGGTCCCCCAGCACGCTGAAGTAGAAGAGGTCGGGGGCAGGACGCGCCGCACCCGGGTGGGAAAGGGCCTGTGTGTCCACGAGGGCGGCTGGCTCTGGGGACTCTGCAGGGCTCCAAAGGCCGGAGTCGCCTTGGGTCCCACCCAGACGGAGCTTCCATCGCCCTGGCCCGGCACACTCCGCCCAGTCCATCCAGAGGCGCCTGGAGGAGGAGACGAGCCCCCCCTTCTATCCGAACTCGGGGTCCCCCACGGACCACTCCCCAGAACCTCCGGGGCAGGAACGGCCACCCCCGCGCTCTCCTGCAGCCACCTCCCCTCACTGCTCAGGGTGCCCGGTTCTCCAGGAGAGAAGAGAGAAGCGCAGGGAATTCACACTTGGAAGACAGGAGGCTTTTCCAGAACTGCGGGGTCCCTGGGGTCCCCGTGCAGCCGTGCAGGGGGCAGGTGGCATCCACCTAGAGTGTGGGTCATCACCCTCCCTCCCGCACCCCAGGCTCAGGGCCCAGGACTCACCTCCGTGGGCTGGAACCTCACGTGCAGGCTCGTGATGTGGAAGCGAGGGCTCAGGCCTCTGGGGAAGCCCCCCACGGCACTGGCCGAGAAGTAGCGCGAGTAGAAGAAATGGGGGGCTTGGTGGGAAGCAGAGCGAGGGTGAGGCGGTGCTTCCACCCGGAGCGCAGCGGGCTGTTCAGGACGGTGCTGCTGGGGCCTGCGGACCTTCAGGAAGAACAGGTGGCTCCGGGGCGTGCAGCCGCCTGCCTGCGAGGACCCCAGGACGGCCGGCTTGCCCGGAGCTGGGGCTGCCACCCCAGGGGGTGAGGGTTCAGGACCTGGCCCTGCAGTGACATCACATCTGCCCTGGACGCCTGGGCTTCCCTTTGCCACCCCTGTGTCTGTGTGTGGCCACCGCCTGGTGAAGTCATCGGCAGGTGGGCCAGAGCCCGGCCCCAGGTTCCTTCCGACCAAGCTGTGCCTGGAAGGTAGCTCTGCAGAGACGGGCTGAGTCCTGCTCCCAGGAGGCTGCTTCCAGCCGAGGGCTGCCCCTGCAGCGTGGGCTGGGCATCCGGGGTTCACTTGAGATCCCACCTGCCTCTGTCCATGGTGAGGTCAGTGTGCCGTGGCCAGGAGGGGACTGATCCCAGATTCCCCGTGACGCTGGTCGGGTGGGCGCCCCTGTGCAGCAGGCAGTAGGTTCCTGAGGCGCCCTGAGGAGCCTCACGGACACTGCTCTGAAGCTGGCCACCTTCAGTTCTGTGCCCAGCCCTGCCCATGAGCTGCTCTTCATCGCGAGGGGGTTGGGGGGGGTGGTTAGTGGGTTGTGTGTGTGCTGGCAGGTGTGGCATGTGGTGTCCTCTTAGGAACAGGCCAGGAGCAGCGACACACAGGTTGTCACCTCCTCCTCTCAGATCACCCCCATGACCCTGGGTGCTCACCCCACACCTCTGCGCTCCCCTAGGCCCATCCTCTGTGTGGACTTCCCCACTCCCTGTAGCCACAAACGTGGTAAATATCACAGAACACACAAAATATACACAGAGTTGAGGGCAGACACGCCAATCACCGTGAGCAAGGTGGATCTCTGTAACGTGCCTGCTGAGATGTACACGCCGGCAGAGGCTCGCAAAGACAACCCAACTTTAGTCACTCACAGAAGACACGTTCCATCGGATAAAATGGAAATAATAAGGTGGGGGCTGTGACCCTGACACACGAGTGGGTGAAACGGAGGTCCAAGCGTCCTTAAAGAGACAAGAAGGCCCCTTGCTATGTTGAGGCTGACCAACTACGGCGAAGACATCACAGCTGGGAACATCCGCGCGTCGGGCACCGCAGCAGGCGCCATCCTGAACCACAAACCCCGCAGCATTCCTGGAGAATAGGGCCGGCCTGACCAAGGGGTCTGTGCAGTTCTCAGAGGAAAATGAAAAGCTGTGCATAGTTGCATCGATAGAATAAAATAAAATAAATCAAATATCCACTTCAAAAAGGTAGAAGAGAATGGCATTATAAAATTAGAGGAAGCAGAGTTTTAAAAAGATGGAAACAAAAGTTAATAAATTAAAAACAAAGAAGTGATCAAATCCTGTTTCTTTTAAAAATT